GACACAGAAGAGCATTATTTTTAAAAGGCACAAGGCAATCAGCAGAACTTTACATGTACATTCTTCAGTTGGTATCAAATGTGATTTTAAGAAAAGCAAAAGGATATGTGTTGAACAGTATCTACATTCATAAACCGCTTTAATGGAGAACTGTTTGTTTCAGTGATCCCTGTGATGAGAATCAGTTTGTAGTGTATTAACATGTCATTTTTTATAAACTAGAAGACATATATGAGCAGAAACAATCATGAACGAAAATCTCCGCCTCGTGACTGTAGTGTAGTCATCAATGTAGCTGATTTGTCAGAGTGGGGAATTGGAAACAAGCTTTATCTAACACTAACAACACACTAGAAGCTGTTTCATAATGAAGTCTGAGATTTATGTTGTCTATGTGCACTTGATTCATTTCAGCTCAGTGTAAGTCTGCTGCTTTAGTTGCTCTCTGTTTCACCGAGTGTGTCCTCTGCTAGACTGTGTTTGTGACGCAGAGTGGAGAAGAGGAGTGAAAACCACAGTAGCCGACTTCAGGAAAATACAATACACTACTGTGACTGTAATACAAAGTTTCCAACTAGTGCTAATCCACCTAAATTCTTTGCTTGTGATGATAGTTTGCTACAGGAACTGTAAACATTTTCATGCGCTCAGGGAGTTTTTTCTCTACTCTTACTGGCAGGAACAGAATACTATCTCTGTTATGGGTCTGTCTGATTCACAAATTCAGCCCTGCATTTTCTTCACACAGTGGGGTCTAATGCTGTTCTTGTTTGTGTTCAAAGAAATCTTGTGAGTGAGTAAATGAGTGTAGCTTCCATGAGCCAAAGGGTGAGGTTGGGGCTAATTTACATATCTATTGAGCCATGACTAGTAAAAGTGATGTTTACATCATTTTAGGCCATGGAGCGATTACTTTCTTGGGAAAAATTCTAAATGTGTAATTTGGTGGTAGAGTGGGTCACCAGAATTCAAAGCACATTCACTCTTGTACTCTTAGTCAAGCTAGCATTGGAAAGGACATGTGTTCATTTTTGGAAAGAACAGAATTATATGTGAGGTTTTGGACCAAAGCTTAGACAGCCAGCTGATTATGAGATTGCTTGTTTCACATCTTTGGAAAACACAGGCATGCAGGCAAAGCGTAAACAGCACTTGTTCTGCTTTTGTGCAAAACATTTAATGTTTAATTATGCAAGCGGTGCTGCTTAGTGACAACTGATACAAATCTGCATAGCGGTGCACATCAAAGTCAGAAATAGAAGCAGCAATTTAAAAAAAAGCACTCTGCTGTTTTCAGATGCTTGTTTGGCATATGTTCGACTTATTGCGTAACAGTGATTGTCTTTTATTTGTAAGATATTCAAATATGTACACAGTTCCAATCCTCTGCAGTGGGGGAAATTTGCCTGTCCTCAGCTCCTCGAGGGCTGTTTCGGTGCTTGCAATAGAATATAAATGGTTGACTTCTGACAAGTACGCCTGTGGAGATATAAAGACATTTGGGGGATGTGGTTGTGTTTGTCCTCTTCAGTTGCCGTGTTCAATAAATTTGCCAAATAATACAAAACAGTATTTATCATTGTGTCAGTTCCCTGCAAAAACTGGCAAAAGGAAAACTAATCTGGTCCTGATGAGTTGATAGAGTTAGTTGTTTCATGTCGGTGCCAACAGAGCACTGCGGCATATTTGCTGTGTATGTGGTACTCCGCCAACATTTGGGGGTGTATTTCAAAATCTGCCAGTCACTCGAGCTGTTAAATAGACTTAAATTCGATTATTTCTTTAAGTGTCCTGCAACATGCAGCTATTTAATAAGCAACAGATGTTTCTTAGAGCTGGTGTTGAAACCAAATATAATGGCTGGGTTGCACCTGGGGAACAACTTGAATCATAGAAAATTAGCTAACTGGCAGGAACTGTGGTCAAATTATAACATATAATGGTCTCACTTGTGGTTCTGTGCAAAATCATTATGGTAACATGTTAAGATATGTAAGGTAGATGGTTGCTATGAATTTAAAATGTATGCTTCAAGTTCTTCCAAAATTTGGCTCTCAGTGTGTGTTTTATGAGAAAAGATGCATTCAGCTTGTTTATCAGTGTCCAAATGGTTTATTGTGTCGGGGAATCACAACCTCAGACTCTTAAATACAGCTACATCCTCACCGGGATCAAAACAGGAGCTTGAAGGTGGTGTTTTTCCCACCCCGTGTAAAGCCAAGATTGGAGAAGCTATTGTGTTTGGACACCCAGTTTGTCAAAGTGAAACTGGACTTGGGAAGCCCTCCCCTTCAAAATATATATCTATGTTCCACAAACCACGCTGCTTGCAAAATATAAACACAGCATGAATCTTGGATGGGAGCTCAAAAAAGAGCATAACTGGAAAAGATCTCAACGCTGACTTACATGAGGTCTAGATTTTAGAGTGCCCCACGGTGATGGCTTAGTTTCTCTTTCCAGGTCTTGTAGAGAGCAAGAGATGGACATGTCTGACTCGCGGTCTGGCAGTTTCAAGCGCAATGCTTTCAACTGTTGTCCAAAACCACTTTTGTGCATAACCACACACACACACACACACACACACACGCACACACACACACACACACACACACACACACAGACAAGATCTGATTTCAAACTAAAAGCAATA